CACTTCACTCACTCATCAAATCCACTCACAGGTCTCCTATTACACCAGTGCAGGGATATCTCAAAAGCCAGGATGTCTATCGGCTCTTTCTCGTTCTGCTAACGCTGCTGCAGGGTTTGCAATGGGGGCGGAAGATCAGTCCCATGAGATGAGGGAATAAGCCGGAATCAAGAGGCGGTGGGCTTGGCAGAGGGCTATTTCTTAGTTAAAAGGTTCTTAAACTGCAGAGGAGATCAGAAGAGATGGCTCCCTGCGCCCAAAGCTGTCTGCTCAGATAAGCATCCTGCCAAGTGCGGGGTGTAACAGGGTGGTCATGGATGAATGAACGGTGTGTGCGTGTGTTTTTTGAGGTATACATGTTCCAGGTGAAAGAGAGAGTGAGGCAGCTGATACCCAGGACATGTCCGTGCTAACAGGTTTTCATCTTAAAATTAAAATGTAAAACTTTTGCGGCTTTTTGCCTAACATCCAAACTACTTTACCTTTTTTTGGGGGGGCACTGAAAACAGAGATTTTATTTTAATTTAAAAACTCTCAGACTGTGTTTTAGTCTGAAGTAGAGAAACGATGTTGGAGACCACATGTGCAGTTTGATTTGAGTCCTCGTCTGATTCATCACGCTGCTGTCACATTACGCTTTTCATCAGTCTTGACTACCAGCGGTTATTTTAACACGGTACATCAGGTGTTGCTGACCTTGATTTCTGTACCATCAGAAATCAAGATCAGCAATGTGCTTATCATGCTGGCTCTATGTGCCGGTGGCATGCAGTGTTCATTTTTTCAGGAGTTTATTTATGAACAAAGGTTATTTCTTTGCTGGTGCAAAAATGCTGATCTGGTTAGAAATATAAATACATTAAAGTTAAAGTAGCCTCAGGGCTGGGTACTTATGGCTCTAAAAATATATCTCAAGCGGCAAAAACTATCCAAATTAAATGCATGTCCAACCTGAACTGTTGGCTTACTGTGTAATCAGATGGGTGCTGGTTTAAAATACGTTTGCATTAAATGTGAACCGCACTTCTGCAGCTGTTTGTGTTTAAACAGCATTTATCATGTGTAAACTCTTATTTACTGCTGTATGAAAAGTTTATCAGTATCACAGGATTTACACTCATATAAGCCAGTCTGCATCTCCAGTAGCAACATTCTGTATTAATACAGGGCACGCGTATCAAGACTGAAAGCTAACATCTGGCTGTTGGGGTGATTAACAGGTTTGACTGCCATATCCAAAACCAACTAAACTAGTCCGTGGCTCCTATAACTGTAACCGCTTTCTTGTAACAATTGATTGGAATAATTAACAATGTATTGATTGGATATCAGCCCGATTCTGACAAAAAGCTGCACTGGTTACGGCCATAATGGCTCCAATCAATCACTCGAGTTCTATTTTGTCCCGTGTTTACTACACTACGCTTCAGCTGCAGCGCACTCGCTCTCACTCACTTACGTTCAGTGTAACACTTGCTGGGAAGCTTTTATTGCACTTACAGCAACATAACTTCTTGTTGTCAACTCTGCTTCTATTATTTCACTTCACCTGTGTAGAGTGAAACTGCTTCCTTCCTTCCCCGAAGAAACAGGTGAAGTCGTAAGTGATAGCCATATACAGAAGCTTATTTATCATAATTTTTTGTTCTCATTTTAATACTTTATTCCCACCGGGTTATTATTATTATGATCATTGTTTTACTAAGAAATACTGAAACAGTAAATTTATATTCTTGGATGTATCTTATTTAATTTTCTTGTATTCAGTGTGTTGCAAAATAAAGGTTTGTAGTATGATACAACATCAGCACCGCTATCTGCGAGAAGCTGATTTCATGTTTTGCCAGTGTTAGCGGGAAAAAATAAACTATTTTCCAGCTCTAGTT